TAAATGGTGATCTAATTAACCGATCTATACTTTAATATAGAATTAAATCCCGGTTAATTCATTTTTTTAAAAAGCTCCCATTTTCTCTAAAGATAAGAACATACTATAATTGAAATCAAACTGAATGTTGAGGGAGAAAATGATCGTTGTATCCATATATACACATATAAAATCAATATCCCAGAAATATAACTTGGCTGAGTGGTAACTGTGATTGGCTCTGCGCAGGCTCGAATTCCCTAAGTTGGAAAATTTAATTTATCTTTGTTAAAGACAAAACAAAGTCGTTTAGTTTAGTTAGCGATTAACTATCTACTGTTACAACCAATTTATAATTTAGAACATTTTAAAAAACTTAAAATAGTTTTTTTTTAAATTATAATCTAATTGGGGTTATTATATTTACCACATATTACTTGTTCGGATCGTATTTAGCACGACTACAGTTGTTGAAGTCAGAATATACCTTTTTCCCAAATAAAGTGATTCACACAAAAAATATTTATTTTGTTAAAAAGATAATAAAATAATATAAAAATTTATAAATAATCTTCATTATATTTTTCAACAGTTTTGCATAAAAATTAGTTAATAACATTTTTTACAAAGTAGATTTTCTACTACAAATTTTTATATTAGTGATAAATTTTTATTAGTATTATTTTTTTTTGAAAATACATTATTAACTGATAAAATTATTACTAAATAATTATATATATATATATATATATCTTTTAAATAGTTTCTATAGTATTTTGGAAAAAAATATTTATGGCATTTAAAAGGTGTGTTTCAAACAACTATTTTTAATTTCTAATGAAAAATATTAATAAAATATTAATTTTGAACCGTTTTTATCCACTTTTACTATTCAAACATATGTTTAAACTGCTAGATCTGTTTGATCCACACTTAATCCCCTAGATCCATTCTTGATCTGCTAGATCCTCTAAATCCACTCTTGTTCCGCTTTTCATATTTGAAACCTATATCTATTGTTATTGGTTCTACTATTTTAAAATACATATTGAAATTATGTGTTACTTGTTTATAAATCCTAATCCAAATTAGGTGTTATTCAATCATACGGATTTACTATTGGATTTGATTGGATTTGTATAGATTTCTTTGTTAAAAATACAATGACTCAAATCTGAGGAAAAACATTTGGAATTGTAAATACTAATTAAACTTCATATGTTAGATTTGATAATCTCTATATTTTACTTAACTATATGGATTTCTAAATCAGTTAAAATACATAAACCAATAGCATCTCCTTATTAGTATGGAGGATCAGAGCCGGTCATAAAATTAGAAAGATTAGAGCACAAAAAATACCATATTTTTTTAAGGAAAAATCAAAAAGAAAAACTAGAACGAAATTGTGGCCATTAGTGGCCAATTCCGTGTATCGATGAAAGTGTGGATATATGACTTTACCACTAGACTAAAGAAGAATATATGTAATATGTGGCCGAAATTAATTAATAAAATAATTATTAAACCTTTTATGTGTATATTTTTATATATAAGTATTAAAAATGCATTGATATACAAGAAATTTGTTGGTTCAGTTGGTTATATTACTTATTACCTGATATCTTGGATTAAGGAAGCCGTTCAATACAAATTGTGCGGATCTTGTTAAGATGATTGAGGAGCCAACAGTCTGGCCAGTTTCAGCTAAGAGTTACATGTCTTTAATGCCCTTAGATATCAATTGATGTTTTTCGTTATTCTTTATCTCGAGAATCCAAAATGATTGTTCGGTCAATCTTGCGAAAGGGACCCAAGCACGGGGTATTTTTTCTCCCATGTAAGTTGTGACAGGTCGAGCATTACGAATCTGTCCGGACCACATATGCCACGACCAAATATGACTTAATAGATGGTGTCTTGTGAAAAAAAAAAACGAAGCCTTTCAAATCCTAGGTAGTGTTCTTTTGATTGTTTGAATTTTTTTCTTTAATGAATGGTAAGAGTAGTAATTGCATTATTATCTCATACCTTTTAACCTGCA